AATAGAAAATTTTTCTCAGTTCAAAGGCGAAAAAATTTTTAGGGCGATTTTCTAAAATGTAGAAAATTATTTTTATGAGTGTAAGTGTGTTATCTTATAGCATTTGCTCCAAATCTTTCAATACTTAATATTTCAGTCAAGCATTCTTTTTAAAAATTCTTAAAATAAAAATGTCATTTTCTTTTTTTAATAAGAGCATACGGAGGTCGACTTTAAAGGGCATACCTTAACAATCTGCTCCCGTTCTGTTCGGTTGATTGTCGTATGTCGCTTTTTGTGGTTTTTATCAATTTAGTTGTTATGTTATTGGGCTATTTGAGGAGACCAAAGCCAGACCAGAAGGACCCATAAATTATGACGACTGTCAGTGGATGATTGCAATTGCGTTTGCGATTACGACGAGCTTGTCGATTACCAACTGGCGTTAAAATGTTGTGGCAGCTTTCATAAATTTCGTATAGACTTTCACGCCTGATATTTGTGTGCCACTCATTCCCATGTTCGGACATTTAATTAATGTTTAAATAAACCCGGAGAGTTGGCTTCTTGGCATTTCGCCTCGAGTGTTTTGTGGATCAAAAATAAACTGTGAGAAAATTGGAAAAAGCATCAGACGATCTGCGGAGTGGTTGTGCCACTTATGTTTGATTAAAATTTGTTTAATTTATGATGGCTGACCAACGATGAACTTGTCTGTAAATTGTACAATTTTATGCTTCATTTGTCACGGCCGAGTGGGATTTGTTTTGGTCTGAAATATGGGATGATATATGTATTTTTCCATCAATTTTAGGTTCGATTCGACGACTGGCTCAAAGTTGAGCTGCTCAATCTGGCTTGCAACTGTCATCAAATTGCACTCAGCTCGTCATTATTTACAGCTTTGTGCTAATAGTTGCCTTCTTCATTCAGCAGATGCCTTTTTGTTCTCCATCTCACCGAGCTGGCTAATTTACATATAAATTAAAACTAGAAAAAGTAAGAGATGTGCACACGCATCACAAGGAGGTCTCTTCAGCTGGCAGTTTGTTAACCTCCCAGCTAGTCTCGTTCTTGTATTTTGGCATTAGTTGTCTGGGTTTCGGGTTTCTCAGGCCCCGAAATTCCTTACGAAATTTCATAAATGCCTGGCAATAAGCGACCCAAAGCGGCAGGATAAATCCCAGCGTAGGATATCATGTAAAAAACTCGAGCCACATATGCGACACTTTGCTGCACATGTCCTGCCACAGGACACAAAAGGCATCTCGGGCACAAAAAACCGCAAAATACTTAAATGTCTTTGATGGCTGGCTCTCAAACATCCACATGAACCCCAACCCCAACTTGGTTACCAATTTTAGTTTTCGGCTTGGCATTTTGTGCGCTCCAAAGAATTTCGAACGGATCGAATCCGAAATATTTTCCCAGTTCAAATTTTAATCTGTGCATTTTACAACTAGCATACCATTCCTCAACCTCTTTGATCTGCCAGCCGATTGATATATCAGATCATTAATAATAGTTCGTTTCTTCTAGCTTTTTCCAATCTCTTTGGTTTTTTATTCGGCGCCTACTTTCTTGGCATATTATTTGTTCAATTTCACGGTGTACATACTTAGTTATAGTTGTTATGTTCTCTGGCTTCGATTCGCTTTGGCCACTCAGCTGAAAACATTTGAATTATCATTTTGTGGCACTGCCTAATGATGATTGTTTCGCATTTAATTGGTTTTTCATTCGGTTGGTGGTGCATGACTGGCAAAATCTGTAATTTCAGAAGTTGTAGGGAATTGTAATGAGTTTAAATGATTGAAAAAAATCATTGGATTAATGGTAGTTTTTGTTCTGTTTTTTAGGAGATGATAATTGGAAAAGTATAAATCTTAAAATATATTTATGAACTATAGAATATATAGTCTTGATTTAATTTCCGTATATTTTCACAAACCGAATCTTTCAAAATAAATCGTTTTTATTTCTTGACCCTTTCTAAATGTCAATTTCATTCACTCTACCCTTTTATCCACTTTACCACAAGCCATTACCACATATCATCTTTTCGTCTTTAAGCAAATCGAATCCTAAGCCACTCTAATGGATTCCGAAACCCGACGAAGAACATGGATTCCATATTTCAGTCGACCCAATCACCAACCCCACAACCTCAGAATACCATCTAATTGCCATAATCCATTTATAAGGTAGCATAGTCGCACAATGCACAACAAGGCGAAGCCCGGGGAAAACTGTGGGGAAAAGCGAAGGAAAAAAGGAAAAACAAACAAAATAAGCCAGACAACAGGCAAAGTAAAAAAGTCAGTTGTTGCAATATGACAGGGCTAGTAAATAAATAAGGCGGACAGCCCCCAGAAGTCGTCGAAGCCCCCAGACTTTGGAACCCCCGTCGCCTGCAGTAAAATGATACAAAGAAATGCGAGACGACTTTTCAGTACGATTTCCCGACGTTCGAGGAAAATCCTTTTTATTAGTGCGATAAAAGCCGGCGAAATGTGGAAAAAGTCTACGGAAACGAAACGAAGAAGGGAAATAACAAAAATTTGCATTGCCTACTTGGCGGCGTCTTTTATTTATGAATCTTTTGCCCGTTTTTCCAGCTGTACGGGGAAAAGCTGCGCTTATTATAATTTCCCTTTGTGCATTAGCCAGCCAATCCCGAGCCCAAACCCAAACCCCTTGCCGTCTGCCGCCCACTGTGCACAGTGGGCCTAATGGATGTTTGCTGTCGCTTGTTTTTTACGATTTGTAAGTGCAATCAGTTGTACAAATGCAAATCTCCCATTGGGTTCTTCTGTTTTTTATTTTTCCCGGGCTCAAAGTCATCTAAGTCGTTTAATTTTGTTTAATAAGATTTCGCGGTATTTCCCCGCACGTGTTGCTTTAATAATCCGGCATCAACCACCAAAACAAATTACCCCAAAAATCTCAAGAATTTTCTACGCATTTTTTTCACATTTTTACTCCCATTTGGTTTGGTTTTTCTTCTGTCCCGGGGTTTCACTTTCGTTTTGGGCTTAAGATTTTGATTTGTGTGTTTATCTTTTGAATTTTTATTAGCAAATAAGTTTGCTTTCCGTTTTGAGAAGGGGCCCAAAAAATTTAAATGAGCGGAAATGATGGAAAATAAATATCCGCTTACAATTAGAAGAAGAAATGAGCCGAAACCTAAACATCTGTTGTGGAAATTGCAATTTAATCGCAGGAATTTTCGATTTTCAGTTGGCCACCAGAGTACAGCTGTTGATTTGAAGCATTTGGTAAATAGAGACAAAAGTTATAGACTACTGATAAAGCGATGTTTGCACTGTTGTAGTTAGATTTGTCTACTCATGGGTCTGTTTACCTTTGGCTAAATATATCGAAACATGTGTGCAATCCAGAGCTTATCATGTGGCCGGGCTATCAGCCACCCAATATTCCCACCCACTCTCAATTGTCAATAAAATAATATGTGTGTCTGGGCGAGAGATCTCTTGGGGATACTACAATAGTTCTCTAGTTTTAGAGCTTTGCTTCCGCAACAAAGTCGCCTTTGTTGGGTCCTTTGAAGTTGACCGACCTGAGCGGGGCTTTCAATTAGCTTTACACCTTTCCCGACTTCCAACTTAAGTCGCGAAGAGACCGCACACAAAGCCAGTTGAGGGATGAGTTCCACAGAAATACTGAAATACGAGATAATCGTCAGGGATGAGAGAGATTGAGCATGGGGCGGTCGTGACTGGCGAAACTCACTTTCGCAGTATTTTGTAGAAATGAATTATATCATAAAAAGAAGAATATTATACTATACTCTAAAATAGAAGAAAGACTCCAGAAGACAAGCTACAAACGGTGCATAAACAATTTAATATTTCCAAAATATTGTTATGCAATTACACCCATACATATATCTAAATATTTTAGCAATTAGAAATACAGTAAACTTTTTTATAAAATTAACTTAATAAAACTATTAATTCATTGTAATTTCCAATATCGACTCACGCGGCCACCTTCACAATAGTGGGTTTCTACCGTGTTCATTTATTGATCGTTAAAAATGATTTAGACCTGACAATGAGACATTGTTAAGAGCGACGAGGAGCTCGTAAAATGCTGCGGTTTTTTCGGGTTCTGTTTGCCACTTTTCTGGTAAACCGTTTGCAGTTGAAAAATAAAATAAAGTGAGCCCGAAAAATACTCAAATTAAATAATTTTTCTTATTGTTTGCCATTGGGCTACTGTTCTCTCTTTTTGCGGTTTCTGCGGCCGCCAACTTGTTGAACGACTGAGTTTAAGTTTTAGCTCCTAAAATTCCCAACATGTTACCGACGGCAGAAGAGACAACAAATTAATGTTGTCGAAACACGAGAAAACCTTGTAAACTGTCGACCGTCGAGGTAGAAACCCTTTTTGATTTTTGGCAGGGCCTAAACCCGTAGAAGAATCGCTGGGAAAGAAGCTCCACTCTAGAGGGAAGCTCAGCACGCACGGCAACAACAACCAAGGCAACCAGAATAAAGCAACAACGACGACTTCTTCTTGGCGGCTTTTGACTTTGGCCTTTTGCATGTGGACCTGGTTCTCGGTTGTTGTTGCATTTGTTGCACGCTTAAATGTCTTCTAAGTGGCGTAAATCTTAAATTGTTGCCCCAGGCCCTTCGGCTCTTTCGCTTTTTATGGTTTCAGGACTTTGATTTGCCTTGGCAATCGTCGCAGATTTGGGGGATTAGTTTTAGTCGGTGATTTGGCCGACTTTTTTTTCGTTTGTTCTGATTTTATTTGGTATGCAAATTTTTGTGAGAGTTGCTGATCTACTTTAAAGGAAAATACATTTAATTATGTTTTTGGCCAGACGATTGGATCCAAATTTGTCTGGCAATAGGAGTTTTTTTAACGTCTTTGATTCCTTTTTTTAGACTTCTTTAACACATCTCAGCAAATTAAACTGTAGATCTAAAAGATCAAGTTAATATTTCACTCCCATATTTAATCTTCAGAAAAAAACAGATAAAAGGATATTAAAATGTTCTATCCATTTCGATTTAAAAAAACCAAGAGGATTTTTATTAACCTGTATTCACATATTAATCACCGGTTATTTATTTTATTTTTTAGTCCACTCAAGGGGTGGTAAATAAACCGCTAAAATAAAAAAATAATTAAAAAATCTCCTCTAAAAGAATTTTAATTACTTACCTAGGCAAATTAAAAAGATATTCAAGATATTCATGTTGTTCCTTAGAGTTCCAAGTTTGACTCCTTATTGAACCATTGTGCCGAAATGGAAGGTTTTTATATGTCAGCTCTACAAATCAGCATTAGCTCCGGAAAATTTCGCATTTGTTTTAAAACGAGTATTTTTTCAAACATTTTTATTTTAATTGAGTATTTGTGTTCTCAATTTGAGTATGTGTCAAATTGAGTGTAGGCTCATTCCACGGCAAACGTGACAGGGAGTTGGGGGGTCTTTCCGAAAATATGGAAATAGATATTGTAATATATAATAGCAACTTATCAACTTTCCAAATACTCCATTTTAAAACGTCAAAATTTTCTTGGCTTTATACCCCAATTACTCATCTTAAAGAATAAGCAAATAAAAGGTTATTAAAGAATAAGCAAATAAAAGGTTATTAAAATGTTCGATCCTTCTCGATTTTACAGAACCGAGATGATTTTTAATAACTGTATTCACAAAATAAAATCCGACCCTTTTTTTATATGTTTTGTTAAGTATTTATTTTATTCATTCTTCATACCACACGCCCCTGGGTGGCATGTAAACAGCTAAAAACAAAAACCAAAAATACATTAATCTCCTCAAGAAGTATTTAATGTACTAACCTAGGCAAATTAATAAGACCATTGAAATATTCATATTGTCGTTCAGTGATTCAAATTTCCTCCTTGCTTAACAATTTTACCGAAATGGATTGTTTTTATATGTCAGCACTAAAATTCAGCATTAGTTTTGGAAAATTTCGCATTTACATGGAACCATTTCTAATTACTCCAGTTGTCGACATAAATTAATTTGTCACATTAAATTAACAACTAAGACGTAAAATATTTCAAATTAAATTTTTTTAATAATCGCTTCCTTATGTAAGTAATTGTTTTTCTTTTCAAGGTCATTTAGCTAGGGCCCCTAGTTTACCAGATCTACGACAAAAACGTTAAAAAGGTCATGTTTTTTTCATTAATCCATAAAAATAATTTTCCTTAAAAAACGTTACAATAAATTAACACATAAAAAATAAGAATATTTTTGTTATTTTTTCGAAAGTGTTCAAATATGTAAAGTAGTTCCAAATTTCATCCCGTTTTGGCTGTCGAGTAATTCATCTTTTTTTACTTTTTTGGTACTAGTAATAGGCAGTTTTATCTTATTTTTCCAAAACTCTCCATACAGTTTTTTTAGATTAACTTTTATTTACCTTAGCCAACCATTCGACAATTCTCAGGACAACGACTAGCGACCTTCCCCTCAATTTATACATGGGAAAATGATTGATTGTTGTCAATAGGAAGCTTCCAAAGAAATTAACAGTTCAAGTGTTGCCTAACTCTCCCCCTCTCGAATCGATCCACCGCGCAGCTGTCAAATTCGTAGCATCATATAAATGACATGGAAACAGTCGAAAAAAAAACAAAAATATAGAAGCATTTTTGTCACGCAGCCAAATCGATGACGTCGCAGCAGAAGGCAGAAGGCGGTGTAATCAGTTCCGCTTAGGCAAGTCACAAGTCACAAAAGTAGCTGGATAAGTCGGAACTACACGGCCTATCTGGAGGACTGATGACTGCGACTGCTCTGCTCTGATGATGATGACAGCCGCGTGTGATTGACAGGGATTTATGATTGTTGCCTAAGCAGTTGAAAATTCTGTAAAGTCCTTCTTGGTGGAATATTTCAAGGAAGTGAGGGAGTGGAAGAATTGCAGACCCCAAGTGAATGACCTGCTTGCATTTTGTCTTCGTGTCAATGAATGGCAAGAAAAACACAAACAAACATTTATTCATTCAAATGCTGTGAAAATTGCATATTATGTGGACAGACAGTGGAGGGCCAATAACTTGGAAAGGGCTTTATTACAAACTCATATAAACAAATATTCTTATTACTCTACATTTTTGAATAAATAAAATCAACTACTAATTATATTCGACTTGTAGGTAAATAGTGTCAGTTTTATTCATATAAAACATACTAATAATAAACTATACTAGTTACAATTACAAAAGGTTAACATAAATATATTTTGTTACATTTGTTTTAAAATCCTAAAAAATGTACGTTAATATAACTGTCTTTCCTTAATATCAAAATATTCTTTTTCTATATTAATTCTATTTTGATTTCTTTTTTTTTGTCCCCACTGTACTTGCAGTCATCTTCGCTTTTTGGTTCACTCACCTCGCCTTGAGTAAACATTTTTTGCGGGCAAATTTTTCAATGCGCATTGCATTTCATCTCTAAGCGAGATATGGGCACCAGGACGAGGACGCGAGTCCTTTTCAAGATGATAGGCGGGCAGAGCAAGCGAGATGGGGCTATGTGCAGAGGGAGACGGGGCATAGATGTCTGCTGTGTGTATGAATATTCATGCCTTGTTTATGCATATTTGCGTGTCAAGTGATGCCGCCTCCTTTCGTTTCCCTTCCTTTCCAATCCCTCGTCCTTCGTCCTGCGTGATTCCCATTTCTCTGCTCATTGCTCTTATTCAGCGGCCTCTTCTTCTTCTTCTCCTATATTCTGCACGTGCATCACGACGTATGCGCAATATTTCCGCTTATGCTTTTCGGTTTGCTTTTCAAGTTTGTTTACCATTGCACACGAGTTGGATCAAAAAGCGGGGAAAACTGCGGGGAAAGCGATACCCGAGCTGTGTGTGAAAAATTTTCTGTTTATGCTCACATTTCATTTGAACGTGAGTTTGTTTGTTTGCCAATTTGAAGTGCTAAAAAGTCGGTGGCTGAAGAGGGCCAAAGGGTTGACTGGACGGAGGGGAGACTTTGATTGCAATTTGTGCTGAGTGTGCGAAAAAGAAATGTCTGAAAGGAGGTTGCGCTTCTGCACTTTCAGCCTGGTAAATGGGCAATGCTTCGGAGAGAGGATTAAGGATGGGGACGTGATCCAAAATGGCGCGAATAATAGTAAAAATTACGATTTTAATGGAAAATAATGAATAATAGGACCAACAACATTTAATTGTTTTACCAACTCCTCAGGTAATAAAACCTTCAACTAAAAATTTGTTAAAAAAACATTTACAATTTTTAAAAACATTTAGCTAGCTAGCCACTGTCTCTTTCTGTCGATTTATTCATATATAATATTTTCTTCTCTGCCAACCCACTCGAAAGAAATATGTTCACATCAGTCTGATTTCCCCGGCGTGTCCATGACAATTGCCCAGTCAAAATGGGGCGTAACCGGGCATGTTGCACCGCGTCTTGGTCTTCAACTGCGAATTGGCCATGGCCCAGACGGAGATGATGATGATGATGATGGATACTCGATACTTGATACTCAGCCCGAACACGAGCAGAACAAAAGCTATATAGCGATGCCCTTGAGTGATCTATGCAAAGCAAAAGGCGGGGCTCAGGACCCGGGATCGGAGGATCGCTGGTGATCGTGGTTATGCGGTTGGTTACAGCCAAATGAAAGGTAGCCGTTGCCAGTAGCTCTCTGGTAGCCGACTAGTCATCAAAACTGGGAAATTAGCATAGACAGTTTCCAAGCCAGCCATTGCCAAAGTGCGTAGAAAATCATGAAAATGGCTACTGGAGTGGCCAACAAGCAAGAGCCAACAGCACGATGCAGATGAATATGCACACAGGAAAAACGTAGTGGTTGATTTAAAAGTTGTTTCATAATTAAAACTTATAATCTTAATAAAATGATTTTAGAATTTTTTATGTATGTTTGATTGAATATTTAAGTGTGCATTTTAATATAGGGGAGAGTGGGGGAATTTCGTCACAGGGGCAATTTCGTCACCTGCAATATCTCGGAATCCATAAGTCGTAAAAATATATAATTTTTTTGTTTTAGTCCTACAAGACGGCCAGACACAACCAATGCATTTGTTTTGCACAGAAGGCCAAGATAATTAAGCTATAATATTAAATGTGTTTTAACAGTTCAAAAGCTACATTTAGTTCTCGACGAAATTTTTTCTGTATGCCACAATTCAAAAGGAATAAGATACACGATTTTTTATATAATACACAGTGCTATAATGTGCATTTCTGCGTCAGTGATTTTTAACTTCGCGCCTAATTTCGCAAGAAAAATAATTATTTCTAAAAAAGTACGGTCTGGGGAAATTTCGCTAAGGGTAAATTCGCACCTATTTTAAATACATATTTTTATATTTGACGAGCTGGCTAACGAACAGACTACCAGCAGCAGCAACAAATATAGGACGTCAACAAAAATGGTACGCTTGATCAGTGTAGCATATTTTCAGGCGTTAAACTCCCTACATTTTTCAGGTGACGAAATTTCCCCAGTTGTGTGGTGATTTTACCCCCCTGTGTGGTGAGATTGCCCCAGTATATTGGTTTTACATTTTATTTTTTTATAAATCACCAAGCTAATTAAAAAAATAGGGGAATGTCACATTTTAAAGCTTGGTGCTAACCGCATTCAACAATAAAAATAGAAATATGATAACGTGTCTCAAGATGGACAAAAAATAGCTTTGAAAAAATGCTGACGAAATTCCCCCACTCTCCCCTACTAAAATATGAAAATTCAACTTAACACCAGATATCATTGTAAACATTCAAGGTTTCTTTGAAATTCGAATTGTTGTCATTTAAATAAGTACCTATATTATTTAGAACTACTGAACTACTGATTTATAGTTCAAGATACTACTCTTTTCTCTCCGTGCAAATGACTCGGCCTCAAAGCCAGCGGCATTAATTTCATACAATTAATGGAAATTATATGAAATTATGAGTGGAACATTGAAATTCCTTGTGAACATCACCCGGGACAACAACAATCCAGGCGAAATTCACTGCCCGCCTTCAAACGGAAAACTCATCGCCACTAACTTGGGTGGCAATTTCCATTTAGACACAAGACACAAGCGCAGGCCAAATGAAAGAAAATTAAATTTTTCACTGTCTTCTTAATTGAAACATTAGCCAAACATTTTAGCCATCCCCATTCCCATCCCCATACCCTGAGACTGCTCCACTCCTCTGTTCATTTACATTCAAATTAACTCGTAATGAAAACGAGTCGAGAAACTTTGACTTTGTCTGGTTGTTGTTTTCCGTGGGGGTTGTGGCATTTAATTAGTTGCTCTGATTGTTGCTTCTCCGTCGTCCTGTTATCGCTTTCCCCTGTTTTATTACTATTTGTTGGCCATTTCTTCTCGGCTTAGTCAGTTAAATTATCCACGCCCAAGGATCTCTGTTTGTTTTGACACTCGTTTGATGTTCGTTTGCTGCCATTTGATGGCAGTTACCTATTCGATTGAATGGATAATATAAACTGCGTTGTTTTCCACCCCTGACCTTTGGAAATACAGAGAAATAGAAAACAATGCCGTCATTGCAGTATATTTTGAATAGTTTTTTTATAAGGGTAAAATAAGTAGTAAGTTGTTGTGTTTCTAAAATAGAATATATAAAATAAATGTCTAAATATTTCTCCATATTGGATAGGTACACTCAAAATAAAATTAACCCTAAAGTCAAGGAAATCGCCCTATTTTTGTCTTCAAGACAAGCTCGCCCTAAATTTTAGGGTCACATTTTTCTATATTTTTGATTTTTTTTGACGTCATATTTCTAAATTTTAGGGTAATTTTACTAAATTTAAGGGCAAAAATTTCTAAAAATTAGGAAATTTTCCTAAAAAATAGAAATTAAAAGCAAAACAAAAAAACATGTTCAATCATGATTTTTTTTT